AGAGGTTATGCACGGGGAGCGTTATGGTGGCGTGCAGACGCCACGGCTGCCACGGAGGTGGTTTTAATTCGGAAAAAGGAGTGCGAGCGGGGAGGGGGCCCGATAATTGAGGGTATCCAGCCGGCCGCTCCGTTTTCCCCAGATTACGACCACACGCAAAAAAAATAAAAAATCTCATTCAACGAACGTTAATGAAAGCAGATGATACTTTTTTGGGTTTTCTTCTACGGGGGTAGGGGTTCATTCCAAAGCGTCGGTACGACTGAGCACATCCCCCGCACGCGACCGAAACGAGGCGCCCGGTCCTTGCCGACAGGGCCGTGCCTACGCGAAGCGAGTACGTACACTCGTGAAAATCTTGTCAGAATGTCAGAAACGTGTCTGAAAACCTGATCAAAATTCGCGCACTTCTGAAAGCTGAAAACATGTTCTGACATTCTGCACAACTCGGGCCAAAATGTCAGCCTAAGTTTTCAGAATTTCAGCTTTCCAGGTGCGCAAATTTTTGATCAGGTTTTCACGACATGTTTCTGACGTTCTGACAAATTTACACGAGTGGTCCTTGCCGCGCGGGGCGGGCCTAGCGCGGATTGAATTCCGCGCAGGCTGCGCCGCAGACCGCAGACAACCACGCACCATCCCCCCCGGCAGCCAGCCCCTTTTATATTGTTAGATACGCACTTGCTTTCTGGACTCTCGAGAAAAACTAGCTGACACCTTTATGTGTCGTGTAGTTTTGGGTGTTTTTTAAAGTAAAGGTTCATCTCTAAAAATAAAATGGGGAGTAGTCTTTGCTCCATGGCTCTGCCTTGCTGCCCGGTCGCCATGCCACGTCACCGCGTGGTTTGGGCGGTACACTGGCGGTAGTAGGCACGCAACGATGCCAGACGTGTGGGGTTACGCGAGGCCATTGTCTCGAAAGGAAAAAAGCGCCAAAGTTCCATCCATCGCCTCGCCTCGCGCGCGCCTCACAGGCCGTGGGCGTTCGCGGCAGGGGGGCGGGGCGGGGCGGGCGGGGGGGGGCGGGGCGGGGCTGCGGTTGACCGCGATACAAAATGGGACGAGGTGTACCCTCCTCTTAACACACCCGCCTTGAGATTTCCGACATCAGCCTGCCGAGAGCCCGCCCCTCTTTGAGAGTGACCGATGCCGGATCTGGTCGCGCGGTACGTACGTATACGTCGCGGTTGGGCGCCCCCGGGGTGGGCACTACCTGTACCATTTCGACGCTCGGACTCGGGACAGCGAGCGAGGATGCAAGCACATGGGCCCGAAGACCGGCGCAAGCGGCCAAAAATCGAGGCGCGTTTTGATTCCAGAGTCGCTGAAGGGGGAAACAAAGCGAACGTGTGACCCCGCGTTTCGAGTTCGAGTCCCATTTAGCGACATTGGAGCTCAAAACACGTCGGGAGGTTTTGGGCCGCCTAGGCCGGTCTTCTGGCCCGTCTTGGTGTGCTTCAGCCACCCCTGGCTGGCCGGCTGGTCCCCTGGCACGCCGTGGTGCCGTGCAGTGCCGTGCCGCGCCACACACGGGCAGTCCGTGGCCAAGGTCAGCGCGGTTGCGCTGAAACCCACGAATGCGGGACTGGCTGGGCGGACCCGCTTGGACCCGCGCAGTCGAGGTGCGCACCAATTTTGGCTCCTTAGGGAAACGCGTTGTTGGGGAGACCTCTTGGGGAAGCAACAAAAGACAAAAACAGACAGACAGACAGACAACAGACAGACAGACGACAGACGGACGGACGGACGGACGGACGGAGGGGGACAAACAAAAGACCGACAAACGACACAGACGACAGACAGACAGACAGACAGACAGATAGACATAGACAGACAGACAGACAGATAGAAAACAGACAGACGGGGGGCAAAAGAGCAAACGATTTGGATGAAGAAATCCCCCCGGCGGGCTCAGCGACGCAAAAGGAGATCGTCGCGTGCTATTGTCCGTTTTTAATTGTCACTTTATTTTGAAACCCCGTGTCGTCGGAGCACCGTCCCGGTTGCGAGAAGCCCCTGCTGCGGGCCGACTCCGGGGGTCGGTGTCGTTGCTTTTTTTCTCTCGAACTCATAGGACGTCATAGGTGCGAGAGAGATAGAGCGACGAAAACGAGCGCGCCTTGTCGCTCTGAGCGCCGCGACTGCCTACACTACTAAACGCCCTCGTCGGGCCGTTGCAGCCGCCACACCTGACCAACGTGATGGCGCTACGTCCCCCCCCCCCCCCCCCCCCTACACTGGGCAAAAACCACTGTGGCCAATGCCCTTTAAGGCGGAGCGGTGGCCTCACCGAGCCGGTCGCCTCTTATCCTGGAGGACGCGTTGGTCGACGCGTTGCTTTGACACTGTGGTTGACATACATATTCCCAAGAGCCGTTTCCGTCGCTCTGTCTCTCTCGCACCCACAGGGAACACCCCACGAGTGCGAGAGAGACAGAGCGACGACTCTCGGGAGTCTGCTAGTCTGCCGGCATAACCACGTGCTCCTCCGTGTTGCGGCGGCGCTTGGCGGCGCAGGCGTCGCGGCGCCCCCCTCCCTCCGTGAGAACCCGAGAGCCCCACCCGCCGTGATCGCCGCCGTGGCCGCCGTGGGAGAGGAGGCACTACACCGCGACGAGGGGTGCCTAGCCTTTTTGCCGAGCAGGGACTCTAGCACGGACTCGCCGAGACTCGAACAGTTCGATCCTGGAATCCAGAGCGGCCGGCCTGGAATGCCTGGAATGCCTGGAATGCGCAGAGCCGCGTCGGCGACTGCCGCCACGCGGAGAAGACGCTCGCTTGCCGAGACCAGCCGGTTCCAGGACTCCGCTGCCCTTACCTGTTGAGGCGCCTCGTTTGCTGGAGCGGTAATCCACACAAGCGGTAATCCACACGGTCGGGGTAATCCAAGGCGGTGGCGCTGAAATACACACGCACACACACACACGCGCGCGCGGGTGTTGGCGGCGGCCCAGACACCTGGCGGCCACGACACTGACTTTTGGCACTGCGCTTGGCACTGCGCTTGGCACTGCGCTTGGCGCTGGGGGGGCGTCGCGGCGCGTCGACGGCGACCTGGCCGCGGCCGCTTTCTTATTGACCGCGAGCGGGGCAAGGCCTGCACGGCCGGCGGGGGCCTGGCGGGGACTGCGCGACGGGCCCCTCGTCCCCACGACTCAACGGCCGAGTCAAGACTAACTTGTAAAAGCAAGCTAACCTGTGCCGCGCGCCGCCGCTCGCCTGGCCGCGCGCCTCAACAACAACCGTTGGCAGTAGTCCCCCCCCCTCCCCTCCCCCCTCGCCTGAGTGGAGGCCTGTGGTTGCCGCCGCATCGCCCCCACTCCGCCACGCCTCGCCTGGCCTCGTCACCGCACAGGTGCGACGAGGACAAAGGGTTCGCTGTCTCTCTCGCACTTCCCGGGCAGCGCAGGGCAGCGCAGGGCAGGGCTAGGCAGGGCCAGAGGGCCAGGGCATCGCACCGGGCGCGCGGTGCAGGGCGGCGGAAGGCACGGCGCTGGCGGAGCAGCGGAGCAGCGGAGCCCTGCACCACACCGGCCCTGCCGGCCCTGCCAGCCCTTACCTGTCTTACCTGGCCTGCAGGCTCCGTGCAGCGTTGCCGTCTTGCCCGCCCTTTAATTTCCTTCCATAGGTCAGTCCTTGTCGCTCCTTACGGACTGCCGGCGAGAGCGACAGAAGACGTTACGCAATACGAACCCAATCCGAACTCACCTGTTCAGCTTGGCAATGGCAAGACGTCCAGAAAGAGTGTGTGCTTCCAATGTGCTGCTCTGCCCTACGCGGCCCTACGACACTGGTTTCAGTGCATGCAGGCGAGGTTGACACGGTGACACACCTGGGGCGTTGCCTTCGGCCTTTGGCAGAGTGGAACTTGCAAATCGAAATCAACTATTACAGCACAGATCCAAGGGAAGATTTTA